TCTAAGAGCTCTGGGTTCAAATGGGTTCAGGTGACATCTCCAGGTTCTTGTGCACATGGGTCTTTTCATGGGGGTCTTATATTTTGATCCATTTTACTGCCTGAAACAAGAGAGAGAGGGAGAGGGAGAGGGAGAGGGAGAGGGAGAGAGAGAGAGAGAGAGAGAACAAGAAAGAGAGAGCGCATGAGAGGGAGAGTGCAAGCGAGCTTCCCAGCACAGTTCTTTCCTTGCATCTAGGTCTCTTCCCTGGAACTAAAACTCTACAATGATCCTGAAGGCCTGTGGCTTACAAGTCTTCCATGGCCCTCCTCAGGGTCATTGTCACTGTGCATCTGGGGTGTAGGGGTATCACAGGGGCTTGCCTTCCTGACAGTATCAGACTCTTGTGATGAGAAGGATCTGGAGACAGCCATGGAGGGCAGAGGGCTCAGTTCTAACCGAAGCAGTGTTTGCAGCATCTCTGGTATTCTGAGTCGGGAGCAGTGTCCCACATCCTCATCCCCAGGCCCTCTAGGAACACCCGCATTTGGATACTCCTATCCATGGCTTGAATTCACATAACAGAGCCTCATGGGAGGCCAAATAAAAAAGCAGGACTTTCTCTACGTAGCAGACAGAATGCTCCGAGAGCCAGCTTGCTGCGCAGTGATGTTTTTTGAAGGATGCCGTCGAGATAAGGGTCACAGAACTTTGGGCTGAGGGGCTCAGTCTCAGCTGTATATTCCCAGGGGGTGGCCTTTAACCCTTTAGTGGTTCTGTAAGCTTGGGAGACTAAGCCTGAGGGGGTGGAGTCACCTATGTGAAGACAGACTTCAGAGACCAGGGACAGTTTGAGCCAGGGGATGACCAATGAGCTTGGTAAGAAGTGAGACTTGACTTGGCTTCCTGCTTGTTTGTATCAGAATGATCAGCAGTGCCTTTCTGCATTTTTAGAGGTGACATTTAAAATTCAAAGTAGGCAATGCAAAGTGGAGATGCATTTCATATTTTAAAGTTCACACATGGGCAAGTTCCTCTCAAGGAGTCTACTGTGCAAATGTTCCTTGGGCAGGATTCCAGTGATCTGACATGGGGTCAGGCAGGAGCTGCCTGGCTTGGGGACAAAGAGTCCCTCTGCAGCTGTGGAGCCAGAACATTCTTTGGAGCAGCGATGGTGAGCAGAGCTTGGCTCCCAGGTCACCCCATAAGAGCTCTCAAATGACCAAAGCCTGTTGTCCAGCTGTGTCTCTCGCTCCCACAAACAACAGCTAACATGCCGGTATCCACATGCTCCTGGCTGCCGGCTACCCAGGTTCCCCTCTCATTCCACAAGAACTCCACATCAATGAGGTCTGGTGTGGAGGTCATGTTGACATTCCAGAGGATGCTGAGCTCATTAGAATCTCATTATAGTGATACAGATACACCCACCCTGCTGTCACGGATCTGAATGTAACCAAGTCAGGGGAGAAAAGAGGCAGCACCCTGGTTCCTGGAAGTCTCCTCCCTTCTCTGAAGACAGCGTGAATATTTCACTGTATTCACTGTCAGAACGCAGGCCTAGTAAAAACCCAGACCTCAGAGCAGCAGCCTGCGAGCCTCCAGAGTTGAGCTTCCCCTTTCCGTTCCTTGACCACTGGGTAACACTTCCTGCCTATTCCCCAGAACTGTTGGGTGATGCTACTGGCATTAAGTAAGAAAAGAACTGGGAGATTCAATAGCAGGAGAAGAAGGGTCACCCCAGAGAACCCTCAGAGGCAGGGTGCATTTCAGTGATGGCTAAAGGCTTCCCCCAGCTCTCCAGGTCCAGGTGACATAACCATTTGCATTGCTTATAGGATGGACTGATTGTTCCAGAAGCCACTGTGGACATGTCTCTGCTCACTGGGAAATTCCAGAGTCCCTTTCTCTTAAGATGGTTGCTCAGTCAACAGTCTTATGAATATCCCCACTGTGGTGGTTTGAATAAGAATGGCCCCCATAGGCTTAGTCACCAACAAGTGGCATATTTGAAAAGATTAGAAGGATTAGGAGGTGTGGCCTTATTGGAGGGAGTGTGTCACTGGGGCTGGGCTTTGAGTTTTCAAAGTCCCATGCCAAAACCAGGGTCGCCTATGGATCAGGATGCAGCTCTTAGCCATACTTGCCTGTTGTCACGGTCTCTGCCTAAAGCTCTGAAACTGTACGCAAACTGCCAGTTAAAGGTTTTCTTTTATGAAAGTTGCCTTGGTCATGGTGTCTCTTCACCGCAATCGAGCAGCGACTAAGACATCTGCCCTAACATACAGCAACAGGTTTCCTGCAATAAGTTATGGCTTCCTCTCACACTTTCATTTTATTTCAGTTGATGTATCTTTTAGGCTTGTTCCGCCAATGGAACGAGCCAGGAAGCCACACAGGACAGAAGAAAGGAGGGAAGGGGGACAAGAACTCAATCACATAATGTGACAGTGGCAGGTGGAAAGGAATCTCTTGAACCTGGCGATGCCAGGTCTGAAGGCATGGTCCTTCAGAATAGAGGGAGCAGATGGATCTTTCTGGTTCCTCCTCTGGTTTGTTCCCTCCCTCCCTCCCGTCCTCCCTCCCTCCCTCTCTCCCCCTCCTTCTCTTCGTTCCTTCCCTCCTTTAAATTTTCTTGTGGGTCTGTATGTCAGTGTGTATGCATGTGTGTGCCTATATGTGAGTGTGATGTGTGCCTACATGTATGTGCTGAAGCATGTGCCTCTGTGTGTGTGTGTGTGTGTGTGTGTGTGTGTGTGTGTATGTGTGTGTGTGCAGAAGCCAGAGGAGGCTGTCAAGTGACAGTCTCTTTGAGGCAGTCTCTCACTGAACCTGGAGTTAGCCTCATGGCCAGTTAGCTCTGACAGTCCTATCTTTACCCACCAGCACTGGGGTCACAGGAGCACGTGGCCATGCCTGACTGTTTATGTGGGTGGTGGGGTTTGAACTCAGGCTCTTGGGTTTCAACAAGTTGTCTTACCCACTGGGTCATCTCCTCAGCCTCGGTTCTTCCTCCTACTTAGTTGTCCGGGGCAGTCTTCCTCATCTGCGTCTGTGGTTTTGTTTTAGTTTGTTTTGTGACAGGGTCTCTCACTCTGTAGCTGTCTCAGTCGCACAAGTGCTGGAATCACCCCTGTGAGTCACCGTGCTCGGCTTGGTTGCTTGTCTTGTTCTTCTTGGTTCTGTTTCCTTTTCTGGTTCTGTGCCAGCCCAGACTGGTTTCGCTAGAGCCTGATGCATTTTCTTGCCTGTCTTTTCAGTGATAACTGGGCTTTATTGATCCATCAGCCTTCCGTGGGAAAAGCAGAAGGTAAGTCACTCATTTGCTCAAAACACCAACTGGATGTTCCGTGAATAGAGTCCGCTGTGATTTTCTTTTTAGGGGGGATACATGGGATGGTGAAATCATAAAGAAAGGCATTTTGAAGAGTACTATGGGGACTTCCTTCTAGGCTGCTGGTTACTTTTTCAGTGTGGATCGTTTAAGGGGAATGTTGAGTAGATGGTAATAGCTCTACCTGACAGGAAGGTAGCTCTGAGATATATCTAGTCATTTAGACCTTGAGATAAAAAAAAAAAAAAAGAAAGTGGAAAACAAAGAAACAAACCAAGTCAAATAAAATGAAAATCAAAAAACGAAACCCCACCAAATCCTGTGAGCAAAAGTTCTGAGCTGTTCATAAACACAGCCATCTTCCGACTGCCTGTAAGTGGGGTGGGTGGGTGGGTGGGTGGGGGTGAGTGGGTGGGTCAAGGCCAGGCCACTCGCTGGCTCCTCATAACCACAGCCTGGCTAGGCTGAAATGAACCCATGACATTTAGGTTCATATACTTTTCAAAGCTTAGAGCTACAGACATCCCCTCACCCATGATCCCAGAGCTGACCTCACACAGGTAAAGCTTCCCCTGTGCATCTGAAAGTGCCCACCACCGGCCTCTGAGACCCTCTGGCATTGTGGGGGGACCTTGAGGCTTGTTTGTGGGCTTACCCTTTAGACACCTTTCGAGGGCCTTCGGCATCTGAAATCATGTCATGTCTTGTGTATTTGTTGATTTAATCAGTTACTACCATTGTGTGTGTATGGGGGTGGGTATGCGCATGCCATGGATCTTGTGTGGAGGCCAGAGGACAACTTTGAGGTATTGGTTCTCTCCTTTCACTTCAATGTGGGTTCTGGGGATTGAACTCAGGTTTTCAGGCTTTCCTTGGTCTTTAGTCTCCTCTCTCTCTTGTCTTTTTTGAATGTGGAAATAGCAGACACAAAGGGCGTTGTGAATATATCATGTATCTGGATCCTTGACCTCAAGTAGGGACTAGGTGAGGCCTTGTGTCCCTGTCAAATGTGGCTAAGGACCATCCAATGGCAGCGAGGTAAGCTCTGGGCCACAGCAAGTGAGGGCCAACTGTGCTTTCTGCGAAAGCTCCAACCTCCGTGGTTGCTGCTGCTAGGAACAGTGCTTAGAACAATGCATGGTTGCTACTGCTAGGAACAGTGCTTAGAACAACGCAAAGCCAGCCTTGTCACAACCAACAGACTGGAGCAGCACCTGACCAGCCAGACTCAACTACGACAGTCACAGGGAGCCAGGAACCAACACTGCATCCCAGCGTTCCACACTGTCACCCCCTCCATGCCATCCCACATCACACTACCCAGTACCACATCTTCCCACCACACTCATCACTATATCCCACCCATGGGGTCTCTCACTATGCCATCCCCGAGTACCCCATTACACAATGCCACCTTAATCCTCCCCTCCCTACTTTATGCTATTTTATTCCAGACCATCTTACATCATGCTATTTCAAAGAACATCATCATAAGCCACCCCATTTCTTCCCATACCACACAAGTCCACATTATGCAACTCCACACAGCATGATTCCTCACCATGTCATTCCAGACTACACCACCCCACACTACAGCATCCCGTCCTGTGTTACCCCACATGATGGCACTCTACAATACCCCACCTCCCAAGAGTGTATCACGCCTTGCCATCTCACTCCTTGCCATCCACTCCACATCATTCTACACACCATCCAAATGAACACTGTCTCATGCAACACCACTCTATACCACACCGTTCTCTTGTTTTTGAGACAGGGTCTTGCTATGCAGCCCAGACTGGCTTCAGATGCATGTCAGTTTTCTTGCCTCAGCCTCCTGAATTTTGAGATGATGGGTTTGACCCACCATTCCCAGTTTACACAACCACACACTATCACACATCTCACACCATACATTCCACACCCTACGCTCCACCCATCACAGCCCATACCATACATTTCATGCTATACCACATGTCTCATACCATACAACTTTACACCACACATTCTACACCACACATCCCCCATCACACCATTTAACCCCACATACCCCACAGTACATATCCCTACTACACACTCCACACCACACATCTATACCACACATTCTACACCATACTAGTCTGTATCACACATCCCATACCACACCCCCACACCATCTAATACTGCACCATTCTACACCATATATCTCATACTATACCACTCTGCTTCCCACCACACATTTTACACCACACACCCCATCTCACACAACACCACAATCCCACACCACACATCCCACACCACACATCCCACCCCACACACATCCCACCCCACACTTCCCGCACCACAATCCCACCCCACACATCCCACACCACACACATCCCACCCCACACATCTATACCACACATTGCCCATCATAATTCCACACCACACATTGTCTATCACATCTTGCACACCACACATTGCACACCACACTAGTCTATTCCACACATCCTATACCACAATCATACCATACATTTCATGCCACACTGGTCTATGACATACATCTCACACCACACCACACATTCTACACCATGTATCACATATTAGACTAGTCAACATCACACATCCCTACCACACATTCTATATCACACATCTACACCATACATTCTATACCACACATCACACAATTCAACACCACATATCTCCAACACACATCCTCACCACACATTCTGTATCCCACACTTCACACAATACACTCCTACACCACACATCTCACATCACACATGTGCACTATAAATCCCACACCACATACCTACAGCCCCATCCATACCACACATTCCACACAATAATGGTCTATATCACATATTCCATACAATACATTTTATATCATACCATTCTGTAACATACATCACACTCCATACCACTCTATACACACACTCACACCACACGTTCTACACCCATACATCTCCACCACACATCCCTCATCACATATCTACACTATATATCCCACATCACACATTCCACAGCACACATCTATGACACATATCCCGCACCACACAGTCTATACCACACATTTCATACTATTGTATACCACAGACTCCATACTATACCATTGTATGCCATACATCCTACACCACCTATTCTGGGCCACACCATTTCATACCCCGTACCGCACCCCACCCCATTCTACAATGCACATTCTGTACCACACTGTTCTATACCACACATCCCTCCCCACAACAGAACATGGCTGTCACATCCGTCTACCCTGTTTAGTTCCTCACCTCTGGTTGGCAGAAAACAAGAGCTATGCATGTGGGAAGTGCCTTAGCTGTCCCCCAGATGTGGATGCTCTCAAGGACCAGCAGAGAGAAGGCAGGTGCCGAACCACTCTCCCTGTCATTGACAGGTATCACTTTGCTCCCTTTGAGAGTTGCCTTCTTGGTGCTAACTGTGAGAATCACAGGTGACAGAGGGCAAAACCAACCGTGTCTGGGTGTCTGCTGGAATTAAACAGCAGTATCTGTTGTAGAAATTAGCTGGGTTGCTTCTGAGTTTGTTATCTTCTGTGACACAGACGCCCTGAGAAGGACAGAGGTGCCCTCGGCTTCACACATTGGACATGGTCATAGGGAGGACCAGACAAAGACAATGTCTAGGAGGAGGAGTATGGCATGGCTGAGTGAAGGAGGCTTGAATCCAGGGCTCATTTAAGCCCTGGTATGTGGTTCAGAAGACCAGGGTTATGTGGCTGTGTCTTAAGCCTGGGAGCAGGAAGGTGGCAGTTCACTGCTGGACATGTGTTGGGGAAGTTCCAGTAGCCATGGAGTATTAGCTAAGGCCATGCAGTCTCAGAACCACTGACCATTCTGTCCCTGGGTCCCAGGTGAATTGCCCAGCACCCGCACCTCAGCCTGCAGACGTACAGAAGGTGTGGCACTTCCGGTGGTCTACTGTCTGTGTCTCTGAGCTATTCTAGTCTGTAAACTATCAGTTGAAAGTAATAAAACCCACGAAAGCCCACAGGTTCTGGGCCAAGCTGTCAAGGAGGCATTTGCAGTATAGGCTCTTAAATGGGCAGCCTTGGGCTGCTAAGTCTGACATGGCCCTTGTGTAGACGAGAGATCCCTACGGGGGTTGCTGGCCCCTGCTGTGAGTCCTGCACATGGAGGCAGGGGGAGCAGAGGGCAGGCACTTCGTGCAGAGGGAGATGAGTGTAGGCAAGGGCCAGGGGCTTGTAAGGAGTCGGGGGAAGGCAGGGCTGAGCCAGGCAGCTAATTCTGCCCAGTGGGTCCCACAGGGTGGGCACTGCAAACACCCATGCCTCCTGAAGCTCCAATCAGTTTACTTATCATCTGCCAAGGGCAGGTTTCCATTTCGCAAACATCAGGAGTTTGAGGATGAAAGCCACAAACCGTTCCAACCTAGGGCCGACAGCCATGTTGGGTGTGGCACCTGGGGGCAGCAGGGGAGAGAGTCAGAAGCCAAGGCACCCTGGAGCCCGGGCTGCTGTCCTTTGAGAGCTGCCAGTGCCTGGAACAGGTAACCTTGCTGGGGTCCGGAGAGAGCGTGGACACAAGCTTGGCCTCAGCCACCAATGCTGAAGTGATGTGGCTTTGGGCATCAGGGATTTCTCTTCCGGGGCATCTTTGAATGGAGCAAGAAGCAAGTGAGACAGTGTCTCAGACAGAATGCTCCCTGCTAGGGAGACACACAGGTCTGCCCTGAGGCATCCATGCCCATGTCTGGGCTATGGACATGTTATCCTGGTGGCCATTGGCATTCTCGGCACGCACCCCAGCCGGAGCTGCCCTGTCAGCTGTCCCTTAGGAGCATGCACAATGCATTATTTACTCGGCTGTCAGCCTTCCTGGAGACCGATAGGCAGCAACCACAATAAAAGCTTGTGGGAGCCTTCAGGAAGGGCCCCGGCATGTCTTGGACACTGTTCCAACCCGCTGACCACACTGCCCTTACCCCTCTCTGGTGAGAGAAACACCCTTGCACTTCTCTTGTGGCTGTAGCTGCCGAAAAGCCCTTGGACTTTCTGAGGAGCAGGGACAGTAGGAAGGGCCTGGTGACCTGACTGAGGCCCCCCCCTGAGTGGGAGGGAACCTTGTCTAGGACTAGGACAAGGTTTCCCAGGGCATGGACAAGAGCCCCATGGATGGATGCCACTCTGTTGATTAAATGATCCGACATTGCCGTGTGCCTGCAGCTAATTAGTATGAACAGCACCAAGTGAGCCAGTGAGCAGACAGACCCTGGCAGGCAGCCAGAGACCCAGGGTAGCCAGACCCTGCTGCCCTCAGCACCAGCCCCGGAGAGTTCTCCCACTCCAGGAATGAGCACAGGCTGGACAGTTGCTAACGACCTAACCACCCCGTAAGTTACTTCCCCGGCCAGGCCCCCTCCGCCTAGCAGAGGTGGTAGTGCTTGATTTGGCGTGGACGCAGGGTGCCCTGAGCTGTTAGCCCCTGGGGGCTGCGTACTCACCATGAGCCCTGCAGAGTTAGAGAGGCAAGCGCACCGGTGGGGTTGCTGGCTGCGACCACTATGTTGCGCCCTTCTCCCCTCTAGCCTCCATGGCCGTTTGGAAGGTCAAGTCCCAAACAGCAGTCCCCGTGGAGCTCCTGAGAAGGCGACCTCAGAGTGACTGTGACAGGATGGCTGAGGATCTGCAGGCTGACCCACCTGCAAAGACAATACGCACTTTCAGAGTGAAGGGAAGGCTCTCCCAGCCCGTTACAGGCCAGTACCCAGGCACACTCAGGGAGCACCCAGCCCCTTTCCAAGTTCGCCCCTTTCTGGCTCCTATCAGCCTGGCCAGCCTGTTGGAGTCCCTGGCTCAGGCTCCATCTGAGGCATCCAGAAAGGTGGTGACAATCTGAGCTTTGGGACTCTGGAGGAAACCTGCCTTCTGGCAGCCAGAGACCATCCCTTGAGTCGTCCCTGCTCACCATCCCAACATAAGAATGCCACTTGGTTATTTCAGGCTGCACAAGCCAGACCAACATTATCAATTTAAATCAAGAGAATCAAATAAACCTGAATAAATCTCTCAGTGCCCAGCAGACCTGGCTGGCAGAAGCTTCTGTTGCCTGACATGGCCAGACCTGGAGGGCTAGTGTCTCCCACATGGACATTCTTGCCGGTGCTGGAACTATGTGGTCTTGCTAGGGCTCTAAGCCCTAGACTTACCCAAAGTTATTCAGAATCCACCTTCCAACAGCAAGAGTGGTCCAACCCCTCATAGCCCCAGAAATGGCCCTCACGAGTGGACACTGTGGTGGGCCAGTAGCTTGGCCAGAAGCACCACCCCTCCCCTTTCCTTCTCAGACACCAGGAGGAAGCCACCCAACTTCTCACCTATTTTGGTAAAGGCAGCAGGAGAGGCACAGGTCTCACGCTTCTCATAGGCGAGATGTGGCATGTCCCTCGTGCTAGGGAACAGCTTTCTATGACGGAAGGCATTCGACTGGAGCTTGTGAGTGGAGTTATCAACAGATTGCAGCGCTGCAGCCTGGCGACTGGCTGTGGTCAGAGCACTGCGCTGGGGACGGAGCTCTGCACCCGGAGGGAGTGAGTCAGAGCCGAGAAGAGCAGGCATCCAATGCGCTCTCTGCAGGCAGTTTCCAGCTCTGGGTTGGGGGACGCCAGCCGCCTGCACGCCTGATTTCTGCAGCAGCAGCCAGGGGAATGAAGGACCGGCCGGGAAGCAGGAGCTGTAACCATGGGGACTGGGGGAGGCGCGGACCGCGGCAGCGCCGTGCCCTGGCTCCCTGCGGCAGAGCGGGAATGGTTCTTCCCAGCCCGGCGGCCCGCGCTGCCCGTCACACTGCAGAGTCGATTTAAAGAGACAACCGACTAGGGTTTGCTGCTTGCTTCCAACAGATTCAGACAACTCACATTAAAGCATTTCCCCCAAAAGGAGGACAGCATGATGTTATTTCATTTTTAGAAGAGATCGTTGTCTGTTGAGGGCTCCAGGAACAGGAAGGTGAAAACGGAAATTGATTTTGGAAGAATCTCCACAACCCTGGTATTAAAATATTTCTCAAATCCAAATATGCCAAAACTGGGGTGAAGTCTATCTGAGCATGAGTCAGCAGGGTTGGTCCTGCCTGTGGACAGGGCCTGGCTGGGCAGGAAGTGTCTTCCTTAACCCCAATGTTGAACCCCTTCTCCCAGGGCGGGTCAAAAGAACTGAGCACTGTGAAGGAAAGTGTACAGCGGTGTTTGTCAGAGGCCAGAGCCCCGGCTCCCAACTGTAGTGGGGATGGCCTGACCCCGGCTGCTGCCTGAGGCGAGGACCAGGATCAGGTCTAGATTTTTCATAAGGTTAATCCCTTCGGGGAATGTTGGCATGGCACTGTGATTGGGAGACACCTGTTTGGGGGCCACTCTGGTTCCTCTCCACCTGGTTCAGCCCCACCCATCTACTCTGCTCTTCAAGCTAGTGCCTACTCCAAGGGGATCCCCAGGTTGGAAGCTAGAGTTCGGGGGGGGGGGGGGAGGGAGATTGTTAAGAATCTTGAAGGCAGAATTAGATCCAGGGACATTGTAATTCTTGGTTTTGTACACCCTGTGGTGTGTAACCTCTGGGTGGGGTGTGGTCAAGTGTCCTCTGTCCCAGAGCTCAGTGGGAACATTGAGATGAACCCTGAACTTCAGATAAAGGGACTGGAGACCCAGAGGAGATTCTGCCTGCTCAGCACTCTATGAGTTGTGGAGACCTTCTTGTGTTCTATACTCTGAGAGTGGCTTTTCCAGGGACTGGAGGCCAGCCAAGGTCCCTCCCTGATAGAGTCTGGCTGATGGTCATGGTCAAGTGGGTAGATAAGGAGGCAGTATGGGGTGTGCATGTGTGGTGGCTCTGGACCAGAGTGGACTCTGACACCTATCTCCTGCTTATGGCTCCAGGATTATCACAGGTGGCCCAGGGCCTCAGGAAGGGCAGAATATCACAGGCTACTGGTCCTTCACTCTATGTACAACTTGAGTGATGTCCCCCAGCCTCTTCCTAGAGTGGCCATAACCAAGAATATGGCTTCCACCCACCCACATATGCCCCTCTGCAGCTGTGCCAGGGCCTAGGGTTGGAGTTGCCCAAGGAGGGCATCACTTTCAGAGCCAATCTCTGGGGTGGCACTGGAGACAGAGGTGCCATGATGACCTACATGGTGGTTCATGTTCTGTATCAACACAGAATAGGTTTCCTATGGCAGTGGTTCTCAACCTTCCTAACGCTGCAACCCCTTTAATACAGTTCCTCATGTGGTGGTGACCCCCAACCATAACATTATGTCATTGCTACTTTATAACTGTCATTTTGCTATGGTTATTAATTATAATGTAGATATCTGTTATGCAGGGTATCTGCTATGCAAACCCCAAAAGGAGTTGCAACCCACAGACTGAGAACCACTGTTCTATGGGATGGAGAAACTGAGGCATGGCATAGTTAAGTATGTTTCTGGTTACCACCCAGCCTTTGTTGCTGCTCTGGGAACCACCCTGTCTTATTTGCTAGACAGGCTACACTTGCCTCTTACTGAAAGCATATTTGGCTATGGGGCTGCTTTTTCTTTAAGGAAGCCTGGCAATGTGGCTCAAGCCTCTGGTCTCTTGTCTCTCAACACTCACTTGGAGTAATATAAATTACCCTGTAGTTAGGAACCTGCCCCCAGGGGGGTGGGCTGGGAAATATTTGCCCTGGGCCCAAGTGTCTATAACTGCATGGGCCATGAAGCCCAATCCCTCCTTTAGGTTGCTCCTCTGGGCACCCCCAGCTGCGTGGATTCAGTGTGGCTATGGGACACAGCCCGACCTCTGGGCATCATGGATATAGTCATCTCAGAGTACCTGCTAACTCCGCAAACTGGTCAAAGAGGAAAGCACAGGAGAAGGGCAAAGAACTGAAATAACCCCCAATCCGAGGCCACTAGGATGCAGGCAACACGGGCCCTCACTGAGGACAAGTAAAACCCCTCCATGTAGGGAAATGCCAGTTTCTGCCTGTGTGTGGGTCTTTGCTCAGGGCACATTCTGCTTACCAAAGTTCCCCAAGTCTAGTGCTCAAAGAGACACCAGCAGAAGATGAGAGTTTCTGCATCTATGACAGTCACACAGGACAGCAGGGATATAAATGACTGTCTGGAGTCTCCAGCACAGGCTGGCAGTGCTGTCCTTGAGGGTTTCATCTCAAGACGACCTCAGCTGTAGTCCTGTCCACTGCCAGGCAGGTCATCCTACCTAGTCATCCAGGGCCATCTTCCTCCTGTGTAGTAAAAAGCAAGAGCTGGTTAGAATTTGCAGCATCTACAAAGTCTCCTCTGTGTAATGTCTCCACGTGTTTTGGCTGAGACAGGACAGCAGCCCCTGTGGGGACACAGCATGGACCATCCTACCAGGCTGCCACTTTCATAAAGGGCCAGACAGCACCTCTCTCAGGCTCCATGGGCCAGATCCTCCTCACGGCATTCCACCCTGCTGGTGGAGACAAGTTCTCAGCAAAGGGCTGGCTGGGTGCCAACACTGGAAAAATACACAGTTTTCACGTGTTATTCTTCTTTTTTCCAACCTTTTAGAACTGTGAGAGAGGACGTCCTGCTTATGGGTTGTATGTGGCAAGCTGTGGCTGTATTGGCTCTGGGGGCATTATCCCAGAAAACATGTCCTCAGGACTCGGTCACATCTCCTAGGTTCCTACCATTGCTGGCGTGGGACAGTGTCTAGCTGCTCAGCTGCTTCCTGCCGCAAATCTTACCACTGATATCCTCTCCAAAAGGAGTGTCAGTGGACAATAACGGTACAGAGGCTTCAAGCCTGTGTGGCCTGTTTAAAGCATAATCCTAGGTTTCTCCACTGATGGACAGCTCCAGTTCCCTCGGTGCCCTCAGTTTCTGCCTCTCTTCCAGAGAGGTTAGTTTTTTGGACTGTGAGATCATCCAGTCAGTCTCACAGACTGAGCTAGTGGCTCTGGCCTCCTCTGAAGTGTTAGGATCTCAATCAAAGCTGTGGCCTTCCCAGCAGCCTTTGAACCTGGCTTATTGATGTCGTAGAGACATGTATGCTGACTGCAGGCAGCTGGGAGTTCTTGTCAAACTCAAATGGACTTGCGAGTACTGCCTGGTTAGGGACAGAGTCTAGATGGGTCACAGCCCACCCTATTGCTCAGAAGGAGAAAGCTTGGCTGCCCTGCAGTGGCTATCAGGAAACCCAAACATCCAGAACCCAGGACCGCAGGAGGCCAGGCTTCTTTCTGTATTGTATGGCTTCAGGAATCTGCAAGCTGTTGGTGGGAGAACAGGAAACAGTCCCATGAGGAGGCTAAGATTAAGTCATGCACCTGGTTGGTGGAATTGAGACTATCTTTCCTCTCTCAGAGGGGCTGAGGCTACCAAGGACATGGCAAGGTACTTGTAAGAAACATTTTATCTTAGAATAGGGATGGCCTTGGATGGCTGCTAGTGCCCTGGCTAGATGTACCTCTTCCGAGTACTTGAGTCTTCATAGCTGTAGGCTTCCCAGCCATTTTGTGGGGACCAAGAAACTGAAATGGGAAATAGGTAGATGTGGAAACAGTGGCCTCTGGGGGATGCAGCCTGGCCCTGAAGGGGGTGGGACTGTGGCCCTGGTCTCTCTATGTGCAGCATCTGGGCTGCAGAGCAGAATTAAAAAGGCTCTTGGGTTGCTGTGGAAACCAGCCATCTCCCCACCCCCAACCCCCACAGCATCAGTCTGAATCTGTACAGACCATTCCTAACAGATTCAAGCCCAACAAACTCATTCTCACCTCGAGGTAAGATGAGTTTGAGAAGCAAATAATGGAATCACCAACTTCCAATATTCTCCTGCTGCTGGCTCTTTAACAAAGCACAGTTGGACCCTTGAGAGGCCCAGGGCCAGTCCAGCCCCCATCACAGCCTTGGAGGACAAGGAGGTAATGTGCAGCTTCTGCTTGGTAACAAACAGACACTTTGGCATTTCACAAGCGCCTAGAAGGCCTCCTGGGCAGATACAGGGCCCTGGGTTGTTCAGATTGCAGCAAAGAGCTCAGGCCCTGTTGGTCTGGGAGCTGGGAAGACAGCAGGTTATGGAGTTTTCACTTTGACCCTTGACCCCAAGTGCCTGGTGTCTCACTGAGCTCCACCTCCTCAGCTTCAGACCCTTCCTCTTTCTTCAGAAGGCCACTCTCCTTCCCTGGGGCCCTTTGGTTTTTGGGGAGGTTTGGAGAGCTGCTGGTAGGAACAGGGAGACACTGGCAAGGCTGCCCTGTGGAGAACCTACCTCATTCTACCAAGATCATAGAGGCAGCAGGATATCCTGGGACACACGCAGCTTCTCTCTGTTCCTGCTAACTCCATGGTAGATTCCAGAAGAGACATGTGGCTTCGTTGCCCACTAAGCCCACCCATACTCCAGACAGGGAGCCTGGTACACTGGGCCCAGGAGTAGAGGTCTGGGCACGGAAATCTTGCTTATTCTTCAGGCACTAGGGAGCCATAGAATGATATATCTGAGGGAGAGAGTAAGAAGCAGGTTTGTTCTTAGTTGTCATGGTGATGGGTGATATGATACAACTTTGTGGCTCTCAACTCCCTCACTTTATCCCTTGAGGCCTCATAAGCTTCAGACACAGCCTTCTGAAATCCTCACTGATGGGACATGTCTACCATGCCCTAGCACACTGCTGACTTGTGTCTTCAGCACTGGAGGAGTATAGAGCAAGGGAGCTAAAGTGGCCACACCGTGAAGTGAGTCCACAGCCTTTTCCAGGATCCATG